CTGAATATAAGGATCTTACCCTTATCTAGAAAAACCGGTAATACCAATCCGGCCACTTCAAACTTAACCTTAGCCATCCGGCCACTCCAAACTTAACCTTAGCCTTACAGTACATGGTGCGTCAATTAAAATTTGATGTGACAATAACAATGACAATCTATTATTAGTATAACCTGTTGGATCAACATATGTTCATATTTTATACAGCATCGACAAAAATTTTATTGTGCAAATCGATGCTTTAAATGTCAAATTATATAGAAAAATGTCTATACATATGATGGTATAGTTCACTCATTTTTGTAAAAAATGCCATAAGCCTTGTTTTAATTGACTTATTTACAATTACAGTACGTACATATTTACAGTGTCACGAGCTCCATAAGTAAATAAAGCCTCAAAAACAAAAATAAATAGAAAATACCTTCATTATGAAGTCATTTACTGTCGAATTTGATATGTATATAAAGTGAGCAATTTTAAAACTTGATCTAATTCAAATAAATTCTACAAATGAAGTTTAAACAGCTTCACAACTCATCCATCATCAATACTACAAGTCACGAATCTACATCTCTTTTAACATTTCCTAATGAACTCTTATTATTATTATTTGAAAGCTTGGATATTTCAACGATTCTTTCGCTAAGCGATGTTTGCAATCGATTTTTGTCTATTGGTCAAGTTTGCTTAGCAAAAAAACTTAAAGATTTAAATCTTGGGCTATCACTGATTTTTGACCAAGAATATCGACAGATACATAATGTGGAATTTGCACTTGAACAATTTGAATTAGAAAGTGGAAGATTCATTTTTACACCGAAAAAATCAAAGGTTATAAGATTCATTCATTCTCGTATGACCATGAGCCCAAAGTTACGTAGAGTCATATTTACTGGAATTGACAACTCTGATTATAAAAATTTTATTCAAAAATCATGTACATTATCAATAGAGTCAAATGATTCAATATTACAAAAAATTTCAACTGTATACCGAATAGGTCGTGGTTTAACTCATTTAAAATCACAATTTAGATTTACATATTCAATAAGTGACATTCCGCCCCTATCGACAGTTAAAACTCGACGTGGTGAACGGTGGTTCACACCTATACGATTCGAATGTTTATCTTGTTTCTTTTATCCTCACGAACCTATCGCACGTAAAATAATTAGGGACATTATTCATTTCAAGAGAAGAAATAATCAAACAAAGAAAAACAATTCGAAATCACGAGATCTGAGCGAGATTAGTTTAAGTAATACTGAAACAATACATGCTATTAACGAACAAAAACCATTTAGAAAAAAATTTTACCACGGTGCCCGAGGATAAATAAAAATAAAAAAAGAAACTTTAAAAAATTCATACTGTTACATAAGCAAAATAAACCAAAAGCGACGCAGCACGCGTTAGCCTAACTCGTACATATGAAATGCTGTGTTGATATAAGATAAATAAATATTTAGATAACGATACTATTTCTATTAATTACCATTTTAACTAAGATCGTCAGATTAGATATTATATGATACAATTCTCATCAAATTAATCTTTCCCTTCCAAATACACTATACGCTCAATTCACGAATTTTATTTAATAAGTTTAATCGTTTGAAAAATTCTGTTCTGCGTTTCTCGTTTCTGATTTTATTTGCAATACATTAAATTTTAGACCGTTTCTGATTTTATTTGGCAGTACATTAAATTTTAGACCAATACCAACACATTATTCCGTTTACTAAGTTTAGTTGATCGTATCACTTAATTTGTTTAATTTCTATTGTGTTTATGTATTTACACTGTACAGGGAGGTACCACGGTTTATCGAACGATTTTTTACTTGTGCGGCACAAGTAAATCGTTCGATAACTATATAGTATTATTAAGAAATTTATTCTAACGCGTGAACTACGGAACAAATTTGGTATAAATAGTAACATTTAGACTTTTTTGTGATCCTTCAATTACAAATAGATTTCATTCAATAACTTTGGATAAACATCTGTGTAATTTTTCCGTCTTCCGTTTTCATGTATTCTATGTGTTCCTGTTTGTATTTAGGGCTTAGCGTAAGTATTTTGATACTGTATTAGGCATAGTCATTGGTCATTGATCATTGATAACATAATTTGTAATATTCGGATTTTTTTGGTCATCTATTTCCAAATTGGGTCGCATGACCAGATAACGATAAATTAAATAAACTTATCTTATCGTTATCATTATCGTTATCATTGTCGTTATCGCTATCGTTATCGTTATCGTTATATTGTAATCATATTTTGATCGTCAAATTTATGCGAAACATAAACAATCGCAGATCATATCATGTATATAATTTTCTTATATTACTGTAAATAAACGTGTGACGACGAAAGACGAAAGCGAATCTCTCCGGAGAAACGGCGAAACGAAACTCGAGACTTTCCAATATTTTCCAACAAATCAATTAAGCCATACAAACTTAATAAATTGGTCCTCAACCTTGCCGGGTCAAATTCTAAAAGAATTTTTTTTTTTTGGTTATATTTTACGTGGGTGGTCTAAAAGTTTTGTCAAAGTAATTATCTCAATCATTTTTTAAAATCCATAAACTTAAAATTATATCTATAAATATAATAGTTCTAATCTATTTATAAAAAAAAATTGAGCTAATTTTAATTGGATAGTTTTTAAAAAATCAAAATTTTAAAATTGCTTTTAAAACAAAGTTTTTTTTAATAAAAATTACCAAAACTTTGTAATTAAAAGGTTATAAAAAATTAAAACTTATTAATTTTTTTAAAAAAATTAAAAATTAATAAAACTAATTATATATTTTAAATATAAAATTTATTTTTAAATTAAAAAATATTTTCTTAACAAAATTTTTTAAAATACTTTTTTTATTTTTTTGTCTATTTTTGCAAAGTTAACTCTGGTTTGGTTCTATAATATATATTTTTACAAATTTTATACAAATTTTATTATATTTATTTTTTATAACTATTTTTCTTTTAAAAATATAACTAAAATTTATTTAAAGTAAAAAAAAACAAAAAAATTACTATATTAATAATTTAATTAACCAAATATAGTAAATAAATTATTATAAATAGTAAAAGTAAAAAATATTTTAAAAAGCAACTCTTAAAAATCTATGGACCTAAAAATATACAGAAAGTTGATGCCAGACTGTAAGATATAAGGAAAAGGATTACAAGCCGGCAACTATCATTTAGAGATAGTTTTCATATACTATCTGCCAGTAGTTTCAGAGTTTATCACTTATCGCAGACATGGCACTTGTCGTTTAAAGATAGTTTTCATATGCTATCTACTGACAAGTTTAGAGTTTATCACTTATCGAAAAAACTTAGTACTATGCATGCTTTGACAAAAACTTCTGTTGATTTAGCCAAAGAAACTTATACTCCTTGCTTATGGTATCCCTTAATATGTAGACCAATGCAGGCAAATTTGCCTGCGTTTTTGCACTTTTTTAGCTCTGATTTACTTTTTTA